CAGGTGAGTCGATTGTGTGACACCTGCCCCCCCCCCCCACACACGCACACATTTAGAGGTTTTTCTGACTTTGCTGCGCGCTGATGATATTGCAGAACTAAAGTGTTGTATGACTCATTTTACCTGTGCAGTGTGTGAGAACAGTGTTTGTATTCTTTAAGTGCCAGCCACAAAGCTTAATACGATGAGCAAAACGAGCCTGGGCCAGAGCGTGAGCAAGTATGACCTCCTTGTGTGGTTTGAGATCAGCGAGCTGGAGCCAACGGGAGAGTGAGTCCATTTTTAATCACATTTGGGATAGTGGCCTGTGGGAGTGCAGATCCCTGCAGTTTGGGTTCTGCTTAGTCCAGGTCAGTTGTTCTTGGCTGTTGTCACCTGGAGGTTGTGTTGGCTTGTCTGAAACTGGTCTTGCTCCAGTTATAAGTGGAGGGGGCCATCAGTGCAACTGATACTAACTGTCCTCACTTTTGGCAGCCTGACCAGAGAGGCCAAGGACTGGAAGTGTGGAGAATAGCCTTCCTTCACAGTCCTCAAAATTGTTTCTCTAAATTAGGCTAGACACATGGGCTGAGTAGTGTGCAGGGGATGCTTGTGCTGCTACAACAAACCCAGGGCATCTGCTGTTCGAATGCCCAGAGATTTCACTCTCCAGAGCTCAGTCCAGCAGGTTTTGCACTGAGCTCAACCATGCTACAGAGCAGGAGAGTTCCCCTCAGAGGAACTGCACTGACCTCATCCTCAGTGCTTTACAAAGAGCTTTTCCTGCAGGATGCCACTGTACATGGAGAAGTCCATGTTGAATAGAGGCTGATTGTGAGTTAGCAGAAGGAGCCTCATTTGTCAGGGTATTGTAACACCGGTGTGTTCTGTCAGAGGTGCCTTATCTAGTGTCCTGCTGCCTGCTCTGTAAAGACCACCTTTAATCTAGGATGTTCATTCCTGTGCTTCCCTCAGATACATCCCTGCTATCGTTGATCACACTGGAGGCCTACCTTGCCAGGGGACATTCCTGCTTCACCAGGTACATGCCTAGGCTGGGGGTGCCAATTGGCATGCCAAGCTCTTTGTGTACAGGGGATAGATATTTGTATGGTCATATCTTTTACTTTGCAAAGGGCCAAGCTCTTCAGCGTTTCTCAAAGACTCTTTGTAGCATTGATTGACAAAAGAAAGCCGAGCCCTATTGATGCTGAGATTATCCTGGTGTGGGTATGGGACTGTATTAGGGTTTGTGTTGAGTTTTCTCTAATTAGGACCTCCCCCGGTGATATTTAAGCAGCTTCTTTGACTGTGTTGCCTTTTAGGGGACAGCACCTTGTGTTAAGTCCATATTCTAACTGAGCACTATTTCCAAGTGAAGCGCTGAGGGTTTGCTGCTGCTTTTGCCAAGGCTGTAGTGCGGTCTTTTAAGCAGGCGCAGCACATGTGGTTCTTCACCTTGTGTAACTGCTAGTGGACAAGCACACGGGAGAAGTTATTTACCTTGCAAAACTGGAATTCTTTGAGCAGTGATGTTCATATCTACCCCTGACCTGCCGTTTTTCCTCCTCCTTTGGGGTCCTTGTTACGCCTGGATTTCCTAAAGGCAAAGGAATTGAGCAGTGATTGGGCTCATGCTGTCCTTTAAGACCTTAGTACGAGGGCACAGAGAAATGCCAAGTTAATCTGAAGACTTGGAGAAAAAGTGCTCCTGTCCACAGTGGAACATATGTGGACAACACCTGTCGGAGAACTCCAGTTAGCATAAAGAGTGCCTTGCCTGTACACAAGCAGGGAGGCTGCTCTGACACACTGTAATTCCAGCACAGTGGAGCAGACTTGATTAATCAAGTGTGTTGGAGCATGGCAACTACCACGCTCCAGCAGTCTACAATGTCTCATGTATCAGTGGCCCCATGCTTGAAAATGGTGGTGGGGGCACTTTTATTGAAAGCTCATTGAACAAGCTTTAGATAAATCGCCCTTGCCATCATTTTGAAGCATGGTGGTGCTGATACAGATACATGAGATGCTCTGGGCGCCTTAATTAGAGTGGCGCTCAGAGCCACTCTAATTAAAACTGCCCCTTGCCTACCCCTCAATCCTGGAGTCTGCCTGTAAACTTCCAAAGTGACTTGTCTGGTTATAAGTAGTAGGGATTTCTTCTGTTATGGAATGCCTATGTGTCAGCTTGCTTGTAGAAAGTTGGGTTTGCTGGAATCTGGTCTCAAAATTCAGAGCATCGCACATGCTGCCTTTTTCCTTAAGATTTGGGTAGCTGGCTGCTGTTTCCCCATGAGGTACTTGTACCTTTCCTGGGAGTGGAGGGGAGGCCATTCTGGGGGCATTTGGAGTGCAAAATCGCTCTTAGGATGAAGCGAGAGGAGCATAGGTGCTGCTCTTTGATCTGCAAACAGGTTCTTTCTGCATGAAGTGTATTCATCACCAAGGAGAGCACAAATACTTCTTTACCTTTGTGAGACTGTTGACAGGCAAGACTTGAATGTTTGTAAACTCTGTGCTTGCTAAATGAGCTTGACTTAAAGGGTTGGAGAGTCTTGTGGGTTTTTTTTTCCCCTCTCAATTTTGTGCTTTTTCAATCTCACCAGGGAATCCAGCGAAGGATCACAGTCACCATAATTCATGAAAAAGGCAATGAGCTGCACTGGAAAGATGTGCGAGAGCTGGTAGTTGGTGAGTACTTCTTGGTTGTGTGATACTGTGTGAGGAAGGCAAGCATAAAAAAAATGAGGATTTTTCTTTCCGGTTATTTCCTCTGTCGCTCTCACAAATTATAGAGCAGAAGTGCAGTACTTTTGAAAGGGCACCAAAAGAAAAATATGTGGTTTTGAACTGCTAATTAGAACTACCTGTCTAAATACCCAGGATATAAAATAACACTTGAGAAACGGCAATTTCTCTTGTGCCTTCCAGTTTCTGTTTAATCAGAAGATGCATGATTTTTTTTTTTTTCTTCAGGGCGCATCAGAAACAAAGCAGAGGTAGATGAAGCTGCTGTGGATGCCATTCTGTCTCTGAACATCATCTCTGCAAAGTACCTTAAGTCATCTCACAGCTCCAACAGGTAGGCTGAGGAAGTGGGTGTAAGGAGTCCTTCTGGTTCAGAACCTTACAGGCCTCGGTTTTGCAGCACTGCTTGGGAAGGTGTTGGGAGGCTGGAAGGGATGACAGTGCTTCAGTGTGGACTTCTAGGCCTGTAGATGTAATGCACACAGGTGAACAATGGGTATTAACCTTTAGTGTCACCTGTTAGAGATCTGCCTAGACCAGTGTCGGACACTGGGGACTTCCTTGTACTGCAGCTGGGTGACTTCTTTCCATTTGTAAGTACTATGAGAGGAGGAGGGAAGGGGAAGCTTCAAAGGAGCCTCAACAGTTTTTCCAGGAGGTTGAAATAGTAATTGAGATTTAAGACAGAGCAGTAAAGTACGAGGACAATCCCAGAGTGGGGATTGTTGTCCTTGGACGTGCAGTCAGGGATCCAGAAAAGGCTTTTTTGTTAACCAGGGGTGGCCAACCTGCAACATAAGTGCCACTTGTGGCACAGGCACCCTTTGTGTGTGGCACACAGCAGATCAGAGAAGGGGAAGGCAGCGCGGGTAGTGCAGGGAGTGGAAAACAGAGGAGCGGATTGGGAAGGGAGCAGAAAGCAGAGCAGCAGATTGGGTAGGGGAAGGGGTTTGGAGTGGCGTTTGGGGAGGATGTGGGGCTTACTTTGGGGGACAGCTGCCAAAAAAAGGTTGGCCTCCACTGTGTTAAAGTATCAGCCCTGCTCATAGAAACCCAGCCTCTTAGCGTGCATCTTTTATCATCCCAGTGAGTCGCAGGAAGGGAGGAGGATTTACGCAGATTCAAACAAGTGGGGTCCTGTGAAGGACCTGTGCATTAGAATCAAGCGGCATGTCAGCGCTGTTCCAAAGGCTGCAGTGACCTGCCGTCTTCCTTGTTGCATCCAGTGTGGGATCAAAGCAAGTGTTGCCGCAGTGTCGTCTAAACGATAAAGGAGTGTTGGCGGCAAGTGATTGTTCTTCGCTGTGAGAAACCTGTCTCTTGAGGGGCTGGGCTGAGGATGTCTCCTAAGGAGAGCACATTATTGACGTGATTTCATGTCCCTGGTAGTCCTGTGCTTCATTATCTGCAACAAAGGGCTGTTGAGGCAGAATTCTGCAACGAGGGCCGGGCTTCTCCCCTCTCTGACATCAACTGAGTCACTTGACCTCGTTCACCGGATTTCTGTCTGCCCAGCTTGTAAATTGGGTGCAGAGCAGGAACCTCCCTCAAAGAGCAGATTATCCTCAAAACTGAGGGGAGAAATGCTTTTCAGCCCATCTCCTCACAGACTTTTGAATACTAGTGGGCGTTCCACGCAATAGCTCCTGTCTCCTCAGCTACAGACTTGGACTTGAGGATGCTGCTCTAATATTAAACTTGGAGTCACGACTGCTGTCTGCAGTACAGGGTGCTGCCCCCTCTGTTTTTATAGCAGGTAACATTATGACCATTAGGCCCCATGTCTTATTTCTTACAAGTTGAAGGTAAATCTAAAATTTTGGAGAATTTCTGGATTGAAGAGAATGAATGCCCCCCTGCAAAAGAAGAGGAAAATAGGTAGGAAAAAATGGCATAGAGAGATCCATTGCTTTGTAGGGTATTCAGAGGGTACCGTAGAACTGCAGGCACTGCTGAGTGTGGCTGGGTAGCTAAACGTGGATATCTGCTGCCCAACACTCAAGTGATCTCCGATAAAGAATAAGCATCTAAATGTTCCTGTTAAGTTCAGATAAATAGAAAAGAAGAAGTGACCATGACTGCAAGCACACATCCTTGCAAAGCCTACAACACAGTGGAGCTTGAAGGGGTGGCAGTGATTGGAGGAGAGATGGGGAAATGCAATTAAAATTCCTTTATGGTTCAGAAAGGGAGAGATGTGGAACCCATTTGATAGGGTGGAGGGGGGTGGTGCTTTTTTATTTTTAACATCTTGGCACTGATCACTCTGTAACCAGACTGTGGGAAGCTACTTGCTGCTCTCCAGTCAGATCTCAATGAATTTTGAAGTAGGAAATGCATATCCCTATTGCTCCCTAGTTGCAAGGAAATTTCTTCATTATCTCTGTCAGGAAAGCTTCTTGGAGGTGGGACGGGGGTGACTGAAATGAAGCTGATACACCAGATTGCCAGGGTTTGATTGCTGGATAAGGGGGTGGGTGGCAGAGAGGAATCTCTGTCATAGTCAGGGATATCTGTTCTGTTCGTTCATCGTCTGCTGATGTGTTTTCTGGTTGCTGTTTTTGGTCTGCTTGTTTGCTCCTCTCAGCTGTTGCTTCTCTGTTCTGCTTTTGGTTGCACTAACGAAAGCTCTTTCTATGTTTTTACAGGCTCTTTCTTGATAAGGATATGCCTAGGTATTTTTTGTTTGCTTCCTTTGCACATAAAGGTTCTTATGGAGTAGAATGCTTTATGTCTCGCTTGTGTTGCTGCCATTTCCCTTTTAGCGGATTTTGTCAGCAAACCTCTCGCCCTGTCTGGGAGTGCATTTCCTCCTCCCTCATACATCAGGAATTATCCATGTACATACAGTTCAGTAGCTGAACGCATGTGAAGGCAAATTTCCTTCACCTTCAACAGAAACAAATTCCTCAGTCATTCCTTGATCTTCTACAGGAGTCAGCAGGAATTTCCCTGTACATCTAACTCTCCTGCCTTTTCCTCCTTTTTCCCACCCTAGACAGCCATGGCTAGCATTTAGTGTCTAACAGCTTTTTAAGAATACTTGGCTGCATTTAAAAGTCCCAGGGCATGAATCATGTGGCTCAATCGCTGGTTGGTTCAAATCCGCCCGGGCTTGTCGTGAATGCAGCTGCAACTATTAGATAGGCTGTTTGGGTGGCCAGTACTAGGTTGGAGCTGGACCCCAGAATTAGCACTGTTGTTGATAATTAACAGTCTGCCTGTGAGCAGAGAAGCTGAGCATTCAAAAACCACACAGGGTGGACTTGCCTTTTACATTTAAAAAGGCATCTCCTGGTTGCAGCCAAGCAGCCTTAAGCAATGTCAGGCAACTTGTGCTGTTGCTGCCTGTCCTCCACTGGTTTGGCTGAAGTTCTCGTTTTCCAGTGCTGTCGCTGTGTCACCTTTTAACACTAACATTCACTTAAAAACTCAGCCGTCCCTCAGCGCTGGATTCCCAGAGCTGTTCCTTACTTCCCTCTTACTTTGCCTTGTTCAACGCTCCCATTCCTTTGCAGGCGTCACCTCCTGTGTTGAACTTTCAAGAGGTTTGCTCACATTTAGCTTTTGTCTGTCTCCTTCCATATCTGTTCTAGAAAGGTTTGGTTTGGATGAGGCAGGGTTGTGTGTGTTCTCCCCCCTTGTGACAAACACACAAGTACAGTGGCTGTCTAAAGGTAAACCTCACTTGGCCATCATGCTTTCCTGATGAATTCACTCGCAATGCCTCACTTCACTGGAGTAGGATGAGTCTCTCCAGGCACTGCCTCTGTCCCTGCTGTGGGAAGTCCAGTTCAGCAGCAGAGGGTGCAAAACCTGGGCAGGGTTTGGTGCATTTGTTGGTCCTGTCTGGAGACCCAGGTTCCATTTGTTCCTTCAGCCTGAGAGGTTCAGGTGATCTCAAGCCAAGTCCTCACTTTCATGCAAGGACAAATGGAGTTTAGCCTTGACTGTCCCTATTCAGGTGGGGTTCTAGAGGAGTATTTGAGCTGCACAATGAGAGGTACTGAGCTGGGCTATGTGAGCAGAGCTCACGCGGTACTTCTCCACACTGTGCTCACTTCTACTAGTGTCACAGCTGCCTCTTGTGATCATTAAAATTCACCTTTCCCAGACAGAGACACCCTTGGGGTCTATACTGTAGCACTGAAATCCTCCTCTGGGACAAGGCACTGGCTGTTCAGAGCACTGATTTCTGCATGCTGCCTGACTGCATTAGTATGGGCACTGTTTGGTACTAGGGCATCAAACCTTAGGGAACTGCAAAGTAACCGAGTGTTGAAGATCCTGGCTGTGCAGCGCGTTGAGCTCAGCAATGACTGTGGAGCACTTTCAGCTGAAGTAAGTGATAGGAGAGGTCGAATATGGGTCTGGAGATCCACTGTGAACTTGATTCAGATCACCCGGAGCAGCCCTCCAACTCTGCAGAGCTGTTGTAGCTGAAGGTTAAAAGTCTCACTTAGAACAAAAATGTGATAAATGGTTGAAATTTGGGAAGGGGAAGGGTTTTCAGTTCATGCAATTCAGCAGCGGGTTAGAGAATGACAGGCAGAAAGCAAGCTCTTCAGCCTCCTAAGGGTGAGGTCTTACATTGCAGTTCCCCTTGAGTTCCTGCTTGGTTGGCCTTCAAGGCCTGCTCCTCTGTAACAGCAGGGGCAAGGGTTTGAGTTGTCTGTCTTCAGTTAAGGCAGGACAACCAAATTATTTACTTTGAGGCAAATTGATGGTGTTGAGCAGTATTAATTGGCTAGGCTGAAAGTGTGACCCACAGCTTACTGTATCCCTGATTAACTCTGACCTACAGGTCATCTGGAGGAGAGGAAATGCATGGGATGCCATGGTTAAGATCAGCGTCCTTGCCTCTCGGGTGTCTTGCAGGATCTTACTCATCGCCTCTGCTCTTTTGCCCGTTTCTTTGTTTCCTTCTGTAGTTTCTGCCTCTGTTTGGTTTCTTTTCTCTCACTTCTGGGAACTGGCATGGGAGCTCTTAGCAATCCAGCTGGCTGTAGAAAGGAACACGGTGGGCCCTCAATGCATGTCAAGTGTTTCCTTGTGCCAGCTGTCCACTGTGGACTAGAGTGGGCTGGTTGACACTGGGGAGCAGGGGAGAAGGGGCCATACACAGGGATGACAGAGAATTAAGTGGTGGTGGTGGGGGGAGCCTTTGTGTGCCCCAGGGAGTGCAGGCTATAATAGCCCAGTGTAATGTGGCTACAATATCCCATAGTAATTTAGGAAGGGAGAATGTTAGTGTAAAGGTCCTTCTCTGAAAGGGAGCTTGGTGAAATAAATCTCTGCCTGCTGGGAAGCCGGAAGCATCTGGTGTCCAGTTTGGAGACCTGAGAGAGTGACCTAGATGGCAGACCTGGGCATTGAGGCTTCAGTTCCCTCCCACTCACTAAGGTGTCTGGCTTTAAAACTGCACTTGCCCTCTGCCCAGAGTGGCGAACAAGTTGTTGGGAGCTCTTGCCTGCTTCCACGGGGCCAGCTGAAAGGATTTCTTAGTTCAGCCTGCAGTGGGTCAGCAACGGTGTGCCTCAGAGTGAGGTTGGAGCTGGGTATTTGGGACCAGCTTGCAGGTGGGTTGCAGGAAAAGAAATGCTTTTAGCTTAAATAAAAGGCTGGCCATGCTTTTGGATGTTTGTGCTCGCCTGCAGAAACTACTACCCTGTTGTGTAGCTTAGTGCAGACAGCATCTCTGTTGTGGCTTGAGAGTTGGGTCAACACTCCACTTAGCTGGGGATATCTATCTGCTAAGCCCACAACGTGCTTTAGGCCAAGGGTGCTGGTTATGGAAAAGGATCCTTGCTTGTGTGTTGAAGCTGGAATTGCATCCTAGGCACTCAGGAAGAGTTCAGTCTATTTATGCACTCCCCTTTTATCCCCGCTCCTTTATGGCTTGATAGGGCTTTTAATTCTCTTCTGTAGCCTCTCAGCGTTTTGCTTACTTTTAGAGTAGACTTCTTCCTCACAGATGAAGGCACAACTAACTCCAGGAGTTTAGATATAGATGAATAATCCTGGGTGCTTTCTGCAAAGGGGGTGGAGAAGACCTGGACCTCCTTCCAGTTTTGGTGAAGAGCTGGGGCTTTGCTCCAGGTGGTCCTTGCCTAACCAACCTTTGGTAATCACAAACATATACCCGCTGATGGTGTTCAGGAAGAGGCCCTGTGCACTGACTTGCAGCAGGGGTACAGAGACGCTTTTCCTATTGAGCTGCTGTTGTGTTTTCTTCAGGACTTTCTATCGTTTTGAGGCTGTTTGGGATAGTTCCCTGCACAACTCTCTCCTCCTCAATCGCGTGACACCATATGGAGAGAAGATTTATATGACCCTGTCAGCATACCTGGAGGTGAGTGTACGCTGTGCCCCATAGCAGCTGTTTTGGAATTGGGTGGAGGGAAACAACTAGTACAGTAAGGAACAGGCATTCTGGCTATCATCTCAGCTGTACCAAGTTGCCTTTGAATGCTGGAATCTGCTGAAATGATCCTGCTTCAGCCCTTGTCTGGTTATAGCTTAGGGACCAGATAGAAGCATTTTCTGCAGTAATGTCTGGTTAACGGTATAAAATCAAAGCAGTGTTGTCCCCCATCAATACAGTTAGCCTCTCTGCCTCTGCTAGTCTTTCTCTGTATTTGCAAAGTCCGTTGATATCCTAGCATGAAAGTTTCTATTTAAGGACCTTCATCGCTACATGCATTGGCTTGGCTCTTGGTTTTGTGTGCAGGAGACCTATCTTTCCCTGTAGTATGGTCACAAATGCAGAGGATGCACCTAGAAAGCTAGCAGCATGTTTTTAAAAAAGCCTGATGAGGAAGTTTCCCCACTGACAGAGAGAACACGTACGCTTAAGCATATAGGCGGGCACAGGCACACATGTGATTTGCTGCGTAGTTTAAACAGTCATATGTTCATGCTCTAGCTTGACCACTGCATCCAGCCAGCCGTCATCACCAAGGATGTCTGTATGGTCTTCTACTCGCGAGATGCCAAGATCTCACCACCACGCTCACTGCGCAGTCTCTTTGGCAGTGGCTACTCCAAATCGCCAGACTCGTAAGTTTCATAGGATCAGAGCGTGATACGTTTCGGACCCAGAGCAAAGAAGGAAAATACTAGCTGTTTTTTTTCTAAGGCTCTTCACTGCAGTTCCCAGCTCTTTTGGTCAGCAAACAGCTTTCCTTAATTAGGTGGTCTGATTTACGTTGAGGCAAACTGATCACCCAAACTGCCTGCCTCCAGCTTTGCCTCTTCAAACAGCTGGATTTTCTTTTGAAAATCAAAAGGGTGTTCTTGTAGAAAGGAATATTTAAGCTTTCCAGCTTGCATGTGGAGAATGCTGGTCTGAGATTTGAAATCTGCTTAATTGGCAGTTTTCTAAGGCTAATGTGCTGGAAACAGGAAAAAGCAGAACTCAGTGGAAGTGTCTGTTCTAGGGCCCAGGCTGTCTGCTGCTCCTCAGCTTTGCAGTCAGGGAAGATCATGAGGACGGTGTCAAGCATCTTCAAAGACACGAGTGTCAACTGTGATTGATTTCTCATTGTAACTAGCTTTTCCTGTGTGGGCTTTTTTGTAAACAGCAATCGAGTGACCGGAATCTATGAGCTGAGTTTGTGCAAAATGGCAGATACAGGAAGTCCAGGTCAGTGGTAACAGCCCATTCATTCAAGCTGGGGAATGTTAACATCTGTGGGTTTTATGGCAGATGGAGAGTTTGAAAGTAATGACTTTTCATGCACAGAGGAAATAAATCTTCCTCTTTTTAAGAGAAGCAGGTCGTGTGCAGTGCGGTGGTACTGTCGTAATTGTAGAGGTGAACTGTGACAGAGGCTGGCTGTGGGGATCAAGGAAGGAGAGCCCTATTTGAGGCCCAGCTCCTTCAAATCAGCGGAATTGAGACAAGGGTGGGAAAGGGGAGGGAGCTAGGAGAAAGATTCCTCTGATCCCCCGATACAGGCCTTTTTTGTAAGAAGCAAGTTTGAGAGCTTGTAAATTTGCTGGTTGAAATGCAAGGCTTTTGATTGATGTAACTGGAAAAATATCAAACATCAGGCCTCTGAGGAGAAAAATGACTATTGCCTTGGACTGAAGAGGGTTTTCAGTTCTTGGGGTTATTGGGGTAATATTTCTGGGTTGGTGCAGAAGGCTGAATTAAAATGATGGGTACTGATGCCCTCAGCCCTTCAGAACGGAGAGATCTATGGAGGCCTTGTCCCAGGTGTGATCTTGGTTACTTTATCTATGGCCAGTCAAGCAGGGGGAGCACAGGTGCTCTGTCGATCCCTGTGCATGAAGTCTGTCCTAGATTGTTCCCTCCCATCTATGCTACTTTTTTCTTGACTCTTCAGGGATGCAGAGGAGGAGGAGGAAAGTCCTGGATACATCTGTAGCATATGTACGGGGTGAAGAGAACCTGGCCGGATGGAGGCCCCGTGGTGATAGCCTCATTTTAGAGCACCAGTGGGAACTGGAGAAACTGGAGCTGCTGCATGAGGTACTCGAGGGGGAAGGAGCAAAGGGTGGGAGAGACATGGGACTCTCAGCAGCCACTCTTCACTCCTCAAATTGAGAGATCGCTCAAGAGGTCCAGGCCAGAAATGGATTCCCTCCAGATGAATACAGAGGTGGTACTGCTGCCACTGAGCATAACCTTCAACACAGGGTCTTGATGTATTTAGCAGAGGCCACACTTGGCCTTCTGGCACTATTGCAATCCCTTTCTGCTGTGTACTCTCATATCCTAGTGGGGGAGCATATGTCAGGGTAAGGACCATCCTGGAGTTGGTGTTTGTTCTGTTGGTTCTCAGGTGGAAAAGACCCGTCACTTCC